AGTGAACCACTTGCAATACTAACATCACATAAACAGTAATTTAATTTTGCAGATTTTTTGATTTTTATCGTTTTTCTCGAAATAATCCCATAAAAAACTTCTATTTCGTCTCTTACTCATCTGTAGGGATTGATTAAGAAAATAAATTATAAAGAAAAACTAACTAATCATATAATAAGTTAAACATTTAAACCTAAACATACGATCGAAAGAAATGGTTCCGAATCCGAACTACTTGCACGCCGTACGGTAGTGAAAGACTGACTGAAAACCGAAGAAAACGGGCGGCCGGCGCTGAGCTTGTGTGATAATTGAGACGAGACATCTGACATGTTAGGGTTGGATTTCGATTTCGGACCTACAAATAGTTCTTTCGCTAACTAGTTCACTGAACTACTTCATTTTTGTGAAATAGTTCTCTTGAACTAGTTGGTCTAAAATAACTAATAAGCACACCTCTAGAATACATACATACGGTATTCGGCGAATCACAATTATTCACTATTCGCCGAGCTACTAATTTATATTTGGCGAAAAATATATACATACATATGACTTAGTTGTTTAAGATTGTTCGGTATTATTTGTTTCCTTTGATTCGGGTTGACATTCCGACTGACGATGGAAACCCCGATTAGTGAGTATTACGGATATGGAAAAGGGCATAGTAAAAAATATTAATCTGGAAATCAAGAATAAATATTAGAAAACAATAACATGAACTGATTTCTAAATAAAATAGCATAGAACTCCATAAGACGAAGTCCACCCAGGTACCTTGAGGACAATCATTATCATATTTGTATTCAGCGACCTCTAAAACCCATGAGTATGACTGTCAACTGATTTAAAATGAAATTAACATACTCCAGACAATGTGGTCAACTCTGTATAACAGGAACTTCGAAAAACCCCGAGTAACAAAATTAAACTCATTCTTATCGACTGTTTCTTAGTTGTAAATTTTTCATTTTCTATGGACTTTTCAAATGCATTTTTCTTATGTGCAAAATACAATTTTTATTTAACCACCTTGAATTTTGTTCATAAACTTTCCCAAATCGAATGCAAAAAGTTTCACAGCCATTCACCTTGCTGGGGGAAAGTGGTACGTTTAGTGCTTCGTTTCATCGACTATTTAACTGAATTAGGAACAAGCAATATTTTTTGAAGAATTTCTAAAAATGATGAACAACAAATATAATTCTTAACTAGAATCTATATTAAGTAAAAATAACAGCTGAGACACATACACAGTTTAGTTTTAGGGATGCTACAGGTACAAGAGGACAGTAAAACACAAAATTTACTACAAATAAATATCTACTGAAGAGATATTTAAACCGGTCCTGGAAGACACCGATGAGGCTGTACTGATAAATGAAGAACGTCTGAACAATTTCTGGTATGCACACGACACAATAATCTTCGCAGATAGCATGCAAGATTTTAAATACTATCGCCTTAACTTGAACACTAAAACAGCTTATGATTGTTACCAATTAATGAACAGTAACTCAGTAGTAGTAGTAACTCAGCAGTAATGAACTACCCATAAAAACTGTTAATGAACAATAAAAACCATTCACTGCCATAACAAGTAATAATCAATTCACATCTAATAACATAAGTTAACAGCTATATTTATTTGCTACCAATATAAACAACCAGTAGAATTATTAACGTGAAATTAAATAGCACGTAGAGAGAAGGCTAATGCAGCGTTTGTTAAAGCGGCTGTAACACCGAAGCATCACTAAAACGACTGAAGGCTTTTGAGATATTGTGCTGTAGAAGAATGTTGAGAATCCCTTAACATTTTAAGAAAACAGAAAAAATTTCTGTATTACTCTGTATAGAAATTTAAGTAAGTACTATGTACAATTTAATTGTTGAACAACAAATCCCAACATAAAACTATTTCAATACAATATATAAAATATTCTCACTATGTGCATGTAATGTACTCATGAGTATTTTAAATCTTTGGATAACTATCGAAATGTTCGGAGTTGGTTTTTTCCTCAATATAATTACTTGAAACATTTTTTTTGATGAAGAATGTAATTGAAAAATAAACAATAATAATTATGATACCACAGGCTTAATCGATTATATTAAATTTGTTTGGATTATACATTTGATTATTTTAACACTAGGACATACACACATTATGTTGGATCCAATATCCACCTTACAAATTAAAAAAGGATTATGTAACTGACTAACCACATAGCAATAATTATTGTTAATAAAATCTAATTTAATAATCTGAAATACGTTTAGTTGCCTTTATTTGTAGTTTGTGTAGCTGTTCTTCAATCGTGTTCTTTATTTGGCTAAAAAATAACTTATTATCGTGTAGAACTAAGACACTCTAAAATCTGTACATATATAATATTGGTAACTGTATGCCATTTCGAACACATTAGCCCAGTCGTCAGAGAGTTGACCCCTAAAAAGATGCAAAAAAGTTTACCACTTTTACCAGCTCGACGGTAAAAATTGGATATCTTTTGATCCAAATGTCCTATCGACAAAAATCAAGATGGGTTTTAAAGGTAAAGAGTGCAGCTTTCATATTCAGTTTTTGTATTTTGCCGAGAATAGAGTCAGTCTTTATAAAGGTGTTAAATAAATTAACGTGGCGCGATTTTTGCCATTTTTTACTATTCTCGTGAGATCAATAAAATTGATCACTTCCGTTGACCAGTTGTAGTAAAATTTCCATTTTTTGAAATTTAATCTCTAAAACCTGTGACATGAAATTTCAATTTTTAGTTGTGGTAACAAATATGAGGCATTTGAAATATGAATAAATAACGCAGAACTTAATGTTTCACATTACAAACGATCACGTCACGGGAAATGTATTTAAGAAGACGGTTTTGGGTGTAATTTATTGCACAAGTTTTGTTCTTGTAAAAAATGTACTAGTATAATTGAAAAACAAGTTTTAAATGTTTTAGATAGTTTGTTGTGTGAAAGTTTAAATCCAGCGTTTTTTAAACATTTCAAATATGCCTCACAATTGTTACCAAAACTCAAAACTAAAATTTCATGCTATAGGTTTTAAAGTTTAGGCTCTAGTAATCGAAACTTCATAGCGAAGTGACGTAGTCAATGAAAGGGATAGATTTTATTGATCTCGTGAAAATCATAAAAATGGCAAAAATCTCGCCACGTTTATTTAACACCTGTATAAAATCTGAGTTTATTTGCAGCAAAATACAAAAACTGCATAAGAAAGCTGAACTCTTTATCTTTAAAATGCATCTTGATTTTTGTCGATAGGCCAGTTGAATCAAAATATATCAAATTTTTACCGTAGAGCTGATATAAATTTTATTGAACATTGATTTCACGCGCTTAACTGACATGCAAAATCGACGGCTTTAAGCGTTGTTCCTAAGTAAGAGCCCCCACCAAACTGGCATGGCAAGTGGCAAGTAGCAAATAGCGCGCGTCTAACATGTTACTTAAAATGTAACCAATGCAAACGAATGATTAGAATGAATTACGTCACTGTCATTTTAGTGTGCACTGAATCATTCTTTTTCATTGGTTACATTTTAAGTAACATGCTATACGCGCGCTACTTGCCATGCCAGTTTGGTGGGCGCTCTCCCTAAGACAACGGTTAATTCTACATAAAAAAATGCTTATAATCATTTTTGTTTAAAATTATCTCAGCTACATTTTTTATTTGAAACATTATTTTCGACGGTGTACAGATTCTTGGTAAATTGATTTTTTTGCATTTTTCCCGCTGCAAGGGTTGTTTTAGAGGGAGCAAGCGGGTAAAAGCGGTAAACTTTTTTGCATTTCTTTTGGTAGTCCCAAAATTAATATGCTCGGCAAAATTCAGCTTTTTCGTATGATTTTTAGAGGTTCAGTGTAATTTTCGTCTCTGACGACCCGAGTATGTAAGAATTTCAGACGTGAGACTAAAGTTGATTTTTATGTTTTGTTGATTTATTGCTTATATTGCAACTATGAAATATTTATCGTATTTTATATCAGCAATAACAGCACTATGGAATTCAAGGGAACTGGCCTGGCCCCATTCATCGTATTAAGCATTACCTATCAAAAGGCAAAAAATGAATTAAGTATGTTTTGTGAAAACATGAGGCAGAGATTAGATCACGATCTAGCTTTTTTAGTAATATGTGTAATATAGTGATATTTTTTTCTCAACTCCGAACAAAATACAAAGAAAATTGTTTATTAGTATTGGGAGAAAAAGCATGCATACGTCTGTACGGATACAATTTCTCATAGGAAAGATGTGTAGTATGATTGATTGGGCTACATAAATAGTCGTACAGTATCATTTACATTGTTTTAGAGAAACGGCGATGAAAGGTTAGAACCGAAAATAATATTTGGAAAATTTTTTATATGACTGATTTAAATGCTGATATAAAAAATACACGTATATTTATAGGACAATCAACACTAAACTAGTTATTTAAGCCATTGGCTATACCGGACTCTAAACGGTAGTCAAGAATTGATAAAAATGGATTATTACTAGTTAGAAAATACCGTTTACACAACTTCATGAAAATATATTTCAACATGTTAAGGATGTAAATAAAACTAACAAATACATTGATTTTAGAGTTACATATCTATCTTATTATTAAATAAATTAAAATAATAAATTAAATAAAGATTAGCTATAGTTGAACATCTTTACATATTTAATATTACTTCTAACTGTATCAATTATTAGGTAGATAACGAGCGTATATTGGCCAATCCGAATGAACATTTGGATTTGCCCAAAAGGGCTTCGCTATCTAGCTGCTAAACATTTTGAATACACTCTATACCTAGACTTTGATGTTTGGTCAATCTGTAAAAGCTACAAAAATATCATACAATAAAAATTATATGCTGAAAAAAAATGTTATTTATGTGATCTGCTCGAAGAGAAGACAGTGGACTTCTAAGAGTGGAGAGAGAGAGAGACACAGTAGAGGACTACTTACAGTGCGGGCGTTTGGGGTTGCGCGTTATTTGTAGCCATCTGAAGGTCACGGTCGGAGGGCGGTCCGCAACGAGACAGGAAGCATAAGGTAGGGTCAGCACGCATCTCCGTATAATTTTCATAGCCGTGCTTCCAAGTGCCAATGAGCAGAGACTTGTCGCATTCAGCATCCCACCACACGCTAGGTAATTGCTCCGTTACAGGAGGATATATCGGCAGGGCACTGTGGATTATTTCATATGCCAATTGTAAAATTTTGATTCTTTTTTAATTTCGAGTTTTTTTGTTTGCCAATCAACGCTCGAGCACATCTTTGAAAGATACCTTGTCCCTGCGTCCAATTTCGTTTTGATGACTACTTAATTCTACATTAGCTCACAAAATACTTTAATTCTCATTTAAAAATACGTTTTTCTAGTTCTACTTTTTCTGTTCACAAGAAATATCAAAATATGGAAATCAAAGTTGTGTGAAAAAATTGGAAAAATTGTACAAATAACTAAAGTGTGGTTCAAGGTAGTGTTTTAAAGCCTTGAGTTACGGCGTGCTTCTATATCTATACAAAAACAATAATTCTTTCTTGTTTCTTGTAATAATTCATTAGTTTCAGGATTTATAGACCGTGTTTGGAATTATTTCACATCAACCAATTAGGTAACATTTTGTGGACAAAGTATGCTATTAAAGAAGACGTATTGAGAACAGCAGGACATAGCTTTTACATATCATAAAACAAGAGTATTATTTTTGATGCATTTGTTCCAAGACCAATGTCAATTTTCCAACGTATTTCTGCAGTTAGAGAAAAAATCAAGCTCACATTGTGAGATGTGGAAATGATAACAAATTATAAATGTAATGCAATAATTTCGAAAAGTGAAATCAGAGAAGATACTCTTGCTAAGCCGAGTTTACATATTGTCAGCTTAGTGAGAGGCATAGGAGACAACAAGGATTAAGTCACTTCAAACTCATCAAAAATGTAGTAAAGAATAAAGTACATGATAAATCTTGCGAGTTTTTGTATAGTTTTTCGTCTAGGTGACTATAAATATGGATACAACTCAGTTAATTGAAATTAATCAGCAAAAAAATACTGTTAAGAAAAATTATCAAAGGTAACAAACATCAGCATTGTAAATCAAGAATATTTTGGAAAAGCATAATAAAACGAAACGTTGCAAAAATGAAATTGGCAGTTAAAAAAAGTTGTCAAGATAACTTCTAACACGCATACATGAAAAAATAAGAACATTCTTATTTTTTATCTCTTTCACTCTTATCAACACAAAAAAATACCAGCACCTTCCTCCAAACATGAAAGAAATGGGCGAGCGGTTTACCCCTATAAGCAGAGCACAAATCGACTCAATTTTTATTTGCATTTGTGTGTATTAAGTTCAAATGTACACTCGCGTTCATAAGATCCAGGTTACCTTGAAAATCACCAATATTTAATTTTTAACGAGCTTTATCGTAAATCATAATAACAAAAATACAAATGCAACGACTTTCTGTTCAAACGCAACGAACAAACATTTATTATTGCCACCATTAGTGTTTATTAGTGCCATTATTAGTGTTTATCAATGTTTATTCTTTGCCAAAAATGCTTTTAACTGTTGTTGAAACGGCACGAATTGTTGCGCTTGTGGAAGACGGTCACACTCAACGGCAAGTCGCAAGAACTGTTGGCGTAAGCCTTTCTACGGTTCAAAGAGTCCTTCAATGCTTTCAGTAGACAGGTTTGCTAACCAGACGAACTGGCTCTGGACGAAGAAGAAAGACCACGGCACGAGATAACCGTTTTCTTGTATTTCAGGCTGTATGAAACCGGACCTCGACTGCGGTTATGCATCGAAATCGTCTACAGGAAGTACGAAATCGCAATGTTAGCGTTGCAATAGTCAGGAAAGGACTTCGTTCCTCTGGACTATCTTCTTGGATAATGGCTACATTACCGCCACTTCGCCGGGCGCACCGAGTTGCACGACTAGCTTTTGCTCGACAAAACACGCATTGGGGAATTAATGATTGGGGCAAAGTGTTATTCTCATATGAATCCCGTTTCTGACTATTTGGATCCGATGGACATGTAAGAGTTTGGAGGAAAACCAGTGAACAATTTTCACAACCTTGCATTGCTCCAAGAATGCCATTTGGAAGGAGACGGTCATGGCTTCTTCTTCTTTAAGTTCCATCTTCTATCGAAGGTTGGAAATCATCATGGCTATGCGGACTCTGTTGACTGCCGCTCTAAAAAGTTCTGCACTACTGCATTCAAACCATTCCCTAAGTTCTTAAGCCAGGATATTCTTCGTCTTCCCACATTTCGCTTTCCTCGGATTTTGCCCTGCATAATAAGTTGTAGAAGCGCTCTCAGACTCAATAGAAGGTATATCTATCAACGGAGAAGTTTTGAATAACTTACGTTTTGCAGACGATACAGTAATAATTACGGATAACAACAATGATTTACAGAACCTAATGCAACGCCTTAATGAACGCTGTCATGAGTACGGACTGAAGATAAATTTAAAGAAAACTAAATGCATGATCATGACTAAATCTGCACATGCAAATATCCAATTGACTATTGAAGATACTGCAATTGAGAATGTTAATAACTATAAATATTTAGGAACATGGATAACATCATATGTAGACCAAACCAAAGAAATTAAGACACGTATTGAAATAGCACGTACATCATTTATTAAACTTAAAAAGTTTCTTTGTTGTCGGGATATAAGGTTAGAACTACGCCTGAGAATGCTTCGATGTTACGTGTTCTCTACTCTTCTTTATGGTCTGGAAGCTTGGACACTAAAACAAGTTCATCTGAATAAGCTGGCCGCCTTTGAATTTTGGTGTTACAGAAGAATCCTACGAATATCATGGATTCAAAGAATGTCAAACATGGAAGTAACTAGAAAGATAGGAAATGAGGCGGAAATAATATTAACTATTAAAAGACGAAAACTTGAGTACTTGGGACATGTGATGAGAGGGCAAAAATACGCATTATTACAACTTATTATGCAGGGCAAAATCCGAGGAAAGCGAAATGTGGGAAGACGAAGAATATCCTGGCTTAAGAACTTAAGGGAATGGTTTGAATGCAGTAGTGCAGAACTTTTTAGAGCGGCAGTCAACAGAGTCCGCATAGCCATGATGATTTCCAACCTTCGATAGAAGATGGAACTTAAAGAAGAAGAAGAATAAGTTGTAATAATGCGTATTTTTGCCCTCTCATCACATGTCCCAAGTACTCAAGTTTTCGTCTTTTAATAGTTAGGTCATGGCTTGGGGAAGTGTAGGTATCTTCCGACATCCACACAGAATTATCTTTCATCGAAAATGGGTCCTTAACTACACAAAGGATCTTTACGGAACATGTTTGACTACGGAGATTATGGAAGAACATGTTATGCCCACCATGGCTTGGAGAAGTCGCCGTTTTTATGCAGGACAGCGCGCAACCAGGACCAGTATGCAATACTTGGACGAGGTTGGAATTACGAGGTTACTCTGGCCAGCTAGTTCTCCGTACCTGAATCCTATCGAAAATCTCTCTGACGATTTGAAAAACGGATTCAAACCCATACACCTCGTCCTAACAACGCACAGGAGCTTAGGGATCTGTTAGTAAGAGAGTGGAATAACGCCATCACAACATGTAATCCAGACTTTTTTTTTATCGTATGTTTGTTTTATCAACAATTTGGTTTGTTTTCTGCTTTTTCAATAAGAACCCTTTTTTTTTTCTTTCAAAACAACCGTTTCAAAAATAAAAAATACATTACTCTAAAATATGTTATTACCGCACCAGAGTCAAAAATATTTAAGAAACTTGAAATTTTCAAGGTGACCCAGCTGCCGATTGGTGACTTATCTCTTGCTATTCTGACGACACGAGTCTCCTCCATTCTGCTTATGTGGTTATTTCATTATTTTTTTTTCTATTTTGTGTCCATTCCTTTATATATTGTACGTAACATTTTCTTCTAATGTCTTTACTTCTCTTTCGATCGCTCAGCGTATTCCCTGTAATTCTTCACAGTACTCTCATCTCTGTCGTTTCCAGTAACCTTTGCGTTGTGGCTGTGTTGGGTCTTTATTCTGAGGCATACGTCATCTGATGCCATCAATTTCTATTTTACATCTGGTTGGTTATTTGCTGACTATTACCACTACTACTACTATTACTACTATTTTTTAGTTTTCTGAGATGAGATTGTCATGTTAAATTCTTTTATGTTAAATCTGTAAACCAGTCTTTGCAGACTATCTTCATAATGGGCTATCAATATTGTGTCGTTTGCGTAACAGAGTATTTTTATTTCCTTGTTTCCCATTTTGTATCCTCTTCCTTTGTTAACGATTTTGATGAATTCATCCATTATCAAATTGAAGAGTATGGGGTTCAATAAATCCCCTTGTCTTATTCCGCTGTCTATTTCTATAGGTTTAACAAATAACTAAAATAAATAAATTTCAAAAAAACAATTTTCCGAATCGCTTCGAGTAAATTTTTTTGGGCGTACTTCATCGAAATAAATATTTTTTTCCTTTGGTTTCTTGGTTCCTTTTAGAGTTATTTAGCATTTTCAACATTTTTGTTGAAAAATGCCTTAATATGTGATTGTTGCGATTTTTTTTTCTAAAACTACTAAATGAATTACAATTCTATAAAAAGTTTTATAATCTTTAAACTCTGCAAGTACAAGTAAGAATATTTTCACAAGGATACATGGATTCTAACTTGCTAAAAAAATGGAACCAAATATTTCTAATATGCATTTCGAGCGATATATCACTAAGCGTGTACGGTTGCAGCGATACTGCGATACGTTTAAATTTAAAACTATGTTTTTAGCAAGATATAAACCCCATATCCATGTCAAAATATTATTACTTGTACGTGTAGCTTTAGTAGTATTTTAGAAAAAAAAAATCCCAAAAATCAACAATTAAGGTATTTTTCAACAAAAAACTGCAAATCTCTCGAAAAAGAAGCTTTAAAAAAAATACTCGAAGCGATTCGAGAAATTGTTTTTTTGTTAAAGTTATTTGTTAATAACAATTTCCGACACACTTGGAAAAATTTAAAAGAAATACATTTGAACTTATAGAAGTATACAGAATAGAATAAAAAAGGTTTGGTCCGGTAGAAATGCAAAAAAAATTAGTCGGTGTGTTCCGTTTCTAAGCGTCTTTTTA